GTAAATTAAAATTTTAGAACAGTCTTCTGTTTCCCAGGTTTTTAAAAGTGCACAACCTGAATAGTAGAAAGAGATACACACCTCACCCCCCCCCCCTCTCACACACACACACACTTCCCCCCACTCAACCGGACTGGAGGATTTTTCAAGGTAGCGTGACCTCTTTGCCAAGGGTCAATTTTATGTCATGGAAAGTTTTGGAATGATAGATCAGTATGTGTACTGCAGAGACACTTCTCCCAAGGTCGTTTCTATTTCTGTCCATGGGCGGCTACAATGTGAACTTTTGACTCCTCAACTAAGGACAAAGCACAGTAAACTAAGCAGTCAAGAGAAACCTAGTTTGCACACCTTATTTTAGTCTAGTTCTTATGCCATTTTATTTTCTCCATTTGATTATTATATATGCAATTGATGTTCATGTCTTTGATGCTGTGTAAAATCTATCAAATAAATAATTATTACTGATTTAAATGTTTAAAACAATTGAATTAATAAAACAATAAAAAAAATAAAAAGGAAAAAAAAAACTAATTGAGGACTGTATAGATATAGATGTTTGAAAGGGAAGAGTGTTTGCTTTTACGTGTCTCATTGTAATAACATAACTTTTCCGATTGCTTAAAATTTGTATCATTTTAATTCTCTGTAATCCCAAATTCATTTCAGCTCTACTTTGAAAAAAAAAAAATTCCCCTTTCCCCCCCTCGTCCCCTCAGCCCACCACGCCGAGAAAAAAAAATCCCTTGAATCATCATTTAATTACACATTTGCATTTTCAGTTTCAGGTTGGTTTTTAATTTTTAATTTTTCTTTATATTTAGACGTTTTGTATTACATCTATGTATATGTAAACCATCTTAAATGAATGAAAGCAGGCTACAAGTAAGAAAGAAATATTACTATTGTAATATATTGTAATATATTGTATTACTATTTCGTTTTCATTTGATGTTCGAAATTATGTAAGAATTTGATGTTGATGTACCTGTTTTAAATTGCAAATAAAAGTATTTAAAAAAAAAAAAAAAAAAAAAAAAAAAAAAAAAAAAAAAAAGAGTCTAATGAAAACTATTATAAACAAACATGGCTTCCAAACAAAAAAAGAGTGATCCTTTATCCAGATATTTTAAGACTTAGATGAGTGTGATTTAAGTAGCAGCGATGATGACGAATCTAAAGTAGAATCTACAAAATCAACTAATAATAAGTCACAAAAAGCGGATAGATCTACATCGAATGTAAATAATTCCAACAGTAGTGCAGACAAGACATCTCTCAACAACAAAAGTAAAAGAAATTCTGGAAGTGGAAATGAACCTGATTTGAAATCTGAAGAAAAAAAGAATACTAACGTGATGAAAACTATACTTCCTTCTGCTCATGACTGCCTTGCATCAAAAAATACACCTGGTTTCTTAAAAGTGTTAGATAGTAAAGAGTTGAATTGGGATAAACTAGAAAAACGCCTAGACAACGACAATGCTTATCAGCAAATAACAGATTTCAAGACAAATGCTGTTCCACCACCTTCATCATATGAACCAGTCACTGATCCAGGTATTAAAATTGTTGACAATGAAGGAAGGAAACGCAAAAAATTAGGTGATGACCTGGAAGATCAAATGACTTCAACAAAAGCGTATAAGGTGCATAAAGAAGAGGATCAAGATTCAAGTTAACAATTGACATTTTAAACTATACATATATTCATCTTAATATAAATTACATTTTTAAATATGTGCTTTTAAACAAAAATAAAATCTGTAAATAAAAAAAAATAAAAAAATAAAAAAAAGTCTAATGATTTACATCGATAAATGCATTAATTATAATGATTTACATTGATAAATGAAATCAGTAAGTGGGAAAATTGTCCACACGACACTATACACCTATAGCTTACCCCGCCTTTTAACTAAGTCCCCCACAACAGAGAAACATGTAGGCTATTAGTAGGCTATTACTGTATCTAGACTTGAATGTGATCGTTGTTTTTTTTTAATACCAGACAGAGCGTAGATTTCTATCTTAATTGTTCATTGCAAAAAAAAAACTATTACATTAATTTCACACGATAATCAATCTAGGCCTATATCTCATCGAACAATTTTTTACCAATCACATTGGGTGGAGGGGTGGGTGTGTGTGTGGGGGGGTGGGGGGTCTGGAAACTGGAGACGTGTTGGCTAATCAGATATCTGCTGTACACTGGAATACGAGCTAATTTTTAATCACATCAGCCAACTATCAGCCTTAGAATCGGCGTTAAAAGCAGGAGTTATTTTAAAATCATTAGCTAATAAATCCCTACAGATGTGGGGTTTATTTTTGTGTTCTGTATTTGAAAGTGTGAACATTGTTTTCTATATCTAAGTTTAGCACAGTGTCCAATTTTCAAGCTAACTTTTGATAGTAGCTATATCTAAGGGTGGTTTTAAATAGAATTTGCCGTTCTATCTTTTTGGGTATTGATTGGCTTTGGCTGTTTCTTTACGCT